AAAAAAAAAAAAAAAAAAAAAAGAAAAAAAACGCAGACAGACAACAATCATGAAATCGTTGCATAATTCAAAAAATTCCTTGTAATCGTTCGCAGTTAACTTTTTATCTCTTATTTTGATCTTTTCGTTCTCGAAGGAGGGAGACAGAATTATCCGCCGGCATAATAAGCCAGAAGAAGACTCGTTGAATATAATAATAGAGAACGAAATAATCGGCAACAATATTGGAATACAGAAGACTACACTGTCTAACTCGCGTTTACTTGGCAGCCGGTCAAAACTTTTCGTTTGTGCACACGGCGGAGAGAAAATAGTAAGCAGAATGCACTCTACGAATAGAAAGTGCTTTCATAGAGCTCGGCACGCGAACTGGAGCGACATGGAACGAGTTTTCGAGAATATAACTCACTCGAGAGAGTTTTTTCTTCAAAGCCGACTGCCACGTTTTCGAGACAACAGCGAGCATCCTCTTTCGAGGCGCATCGCCAAGAAATTAATTACTCCTCGTGTTTCTTCTTAACGCACGCTACAATTAACGTTCCGTGCGTACGAAAGCACGTTCCGATTTAATTAACCGGGTAGCGGGTAGTTTCCATTTCACGAACTCGTGATTCGTGCGTGACGAACTCACGAAATTATCGTCCGTTAGAGCGATGGAAAATTCGCGGTAATTGAAACGAATTTGTGAAATGGATTATGAGAATTGTTTGAATCCGTCGGAATGACGACGGGGAGTGTGAAATGTCATTGGTGGTAGAATCTCCATCTTTGAAGTCCCTAGGTTGAAATTGACCTTTCTTTTGCCCCATTTCTTCTCGCACGAAGCGAAATGAACTGCATTTCTACGCTTGACGGATATCAGATGGAAAATGTCGCGAAACGAGAATGTCTTTTACATTGTAATTCGCTGCTTTACACAAGATTCTAATTCTAAACTGGAATTAACTGGTTTCTTGTCCATAGTCGGTTTGCTTTTCTAAATATCTATTACGACAAATTCTGAACAAATAACATACGAATGTGTCACTGTGCATTTTACATTTAAATTTCTCGTAAATGCACATTATAATGACAAAAATACTCGATAAAAAGATGAATTAAAAGTCACAAGTGCAATACTGAAATAACGTCATTAATTCTTAACCGAAACAGGTACAATATGGCGACCTGTCGGATTGTCCCTGGTTTACTTGGCTCTGATGTTATACTCGCCGCACGTGCCGGTACCAGATGCGAAAACAATGGCTGGCCATACAGGCCACTATTTGAAAACGTGCATCGGCCTGTCTTTCCTCACAGCAACTAGCCAGCTCACTTTTCACATAGTTCTATTAGCTCTGCCTGCTTATGGACACTTCCTTCACAATTGTACGTAACTACTTCCAGCAGGGGTGGAACCTTGAACCACTACAGAATTTAATTACTGTGAATGGACTGAGAACGTTGGTCGTTGAACAACTTTCAGGCGAATCGATGGAAGTGATCTTCAGGCACATAGGTTTTGTAAGATTAGACAGAGCTTCCGGCTGGGAGATCTTCTTCTGGCTGACGCCGGAATTAATTGTTCTACCCACCAGCGTGGCAGTGTACTTTCTCTGCCGGTTTCTGTCACAAAAGAGCGTCGTCGACGAGGAGGAAGACGCGTCGTTGCATCGAAACGCCGAGGCACCAAAAACGAACCCGGACGGCACTGCCAAGGTATTGTTCGACGAAACGAGCTTGTCCCACAACTTGATAAATTTCATTAAATTAATATGCAATTAACAAACAACTTTAATTCGATATTAAATCGGGCAATCTGTGCTCTTACTTTACTTACTAGTAGATCATAGTTTGCAATCACTTTTCCGATTGTAAAAGAATCTCCCAAAGTTGGCCAAACTTAAAGTTCGTATCAGAACACACAGTGATCGAAAACTTTTGGCCAGTAATGTATTCCTGCAATAAGTTTCATAAATTATAAGATGACAGAAAAGTTGTAGTGATAGGAAAGGGAAGTCGTAGCTAACTTTGCAACATATTTCGCGTCCATCCAGATCATCAATTTCCTGGGACGAATCGGCACCTACGTAGTCCTTGCGTCGCTCTGCATCACGGCATCCTTGAAACCATCGATAGAGGGTGGTTTCTACTTCCTCGTCTTTCTGGGAGCCGCGACTTGGTGGGCCTGCAACAAAGAGCTCCGAAAGGGTTTCGCTGTATTATGCAGGATCGTGATGGCCATCGTGATCCTTCACATCCTGGCTCTGCTCACCTACCAGAATCAAGTGCCCCAGGAGTTAATACCGGTGAACAGCACTTGGCAGCGATATTTCGCATTGACGCCTGTCTATCGGACGAACTGCACCGACCCAAGAGACGTCAAGTACGCGGACAATGCCGATTGGTTAATTTACGGCTATTGCTTGCGGCTGTTCTGGCTTTATTACGTCTTGGCGTTGCAGTCACGGTTCCTGAGCGAAAAGCCGGTGAGTTTGTCCGTTGATATATATATATATATATATACTAAATTATATATCTTACGTTATGGTTCCGACGATACCAGATAAATGTTGGCATTAACAAACATTACAAAATAGTTGAAATTATTCGGGAGTTTATTGTGCAGTTTTAACGAGTCGTGGGATAACAATGAAAATAATACGGGAGATAAAACGGGCGAAGATCGGAGTAATTAAAGCAGTGCTCCATTAATTGAAATTATAATTAATCGGTACGAAAAGATTCAACCGCGAATATCGTCGAATAGCATGTCTGGGATACTTGGGCGTTTAAAGATGATGAACTTAAAGTATGATGAAAGAATGAAGAGGAGCTTCACTTGAGCATGAACCGTGCTATAACGACGCACGTCGCGTGCAATGTACCTTCTACTCACTTAATTAACTTTCTTGCGGTTAAGGAGAACGATTAACCCATTGATGTCGGCGAAATAACATGATCTAAGCTTTCACGATCTGTGTATCCACTAACTTCGTGATTACTTATAAGCGTAACATCTGTCTCTCTCTGTGTTACACGCGTGTCTTTCTTTGACGAACGCGTTGCTTTTACTAACGAGGCGTTACAGGCGAAGGAAGTGAAACGTCTGAGCGGCAAGCTGGAAAATCTGAACACGCCGTTGTCCAGGCACGTTTCCATCAGACGAAGAACACCGTCTCAGAGATGGCAGTCGGCGCGGCGAAAGGCTCGCGTAAGGATCTCGTCCTGCATGAGCCGAATTTCCCCGTTTGCTTTAATCTTTAAATGCTTTAATCTTTCTAGATATCTTCTTTTTTCTTTTTCTTTTTGGAATGAATTCGATCACACAGTATATTTTATCATCAATTCTGTTTCATGTTGTGACCTCACGATGTAGTGACCCACGAAGGTATTTAAACATTTACCTCTCTTGGAAAAGTTTTACATCTTCCACAAGTTCATTTTAAAATTTCATTAGAATTACAGTGAAGCACGATCATCCTGATTGCGTTGGTGAAATTTGAGATGAATCTGGAAATGTATATAAATTTGCAAACATGTACCTACAGCATGACTAATCGTCTTAGATTTAAAATTTAAAAATAAATAGAAATTAGGGTATAATATTTAATAAAGATTTGGCACACTGCATGAATAATCATCCTATTGTAATAGATAATTGATGCAATGAATAATTCATTGTTTAAATATCTTGCATCTTTCATACACATTTTCAAATTCATTTCAAACTTCATCAACATAATTTCATCAGAGTGCTATTTGAAATTTCAAAATATGTTTATAAAAAGTTTCTAATATTCATTAATTTAATATTACGATCAAGAGAAATTTATCTCCTGCTTTTCAATTCTT